GGGGGGGGAGGTGGGTTTCCAAAGTGCCAGGAGCTGGGGCAGGCAGGACAGTGATTCCAATCACCAAATCAAATCTGTCTCCCGAATTGGAATCCAAAGCAAATACTAGCCACATCGCACAGGCCTAGTCTACATGTGCACTGCTGTGGAGTTTTTTACTCCGCAGCAGGACAGAGCTTTTAAATACAAGTACTATCCTGCTGCAGAGTAAATTAGTTTACTCCAGCCTAACTGGGCCACACATGTAGACACTGAGACATTTACTGCGCAGTTAATTAGTTAACTGCACAGTAAATGTCTCATGTGGCAGTGTCCACTGTGACTGAAGTTGGAGCCGACCTTGCTGAAGTTAATGGGGATTTTGCCATTAACTTTATTGGGATTGGGCACTGTTGCTAAATGCTAGGAACGGCTGTCCTTGCTGGCTATTGTTTAATTATAGTGCTGTTTCAAAAAAGCAAAATGGCAAGTGCCACAAGACTTTGAAACCTGTCAGTATCTTGTATCCATCTGCAATTCAAGTGCCACATTGGCTCTTTCTTCTCCATCCAGTAGTACATAAATCATACAATAGTGTGCTTGACTCTAAACAGAATCTGGCAGGCTACAACTTCACATCCTGAATGAATACAACTAAAAGATAGTCTAAGCAGCTTAAATGAAATTCAGGCATTGATGAGGGCAAGGAGATTTCTGTACAATCTTCAGATATGTATAAGGGGTATAGGTTGTAGCCGTGTTGGTCTAAGAACATAGGCAGACAAGGTTCTTTGGGTAAATCTGATATCTTTTATGAGACCAACTCAAATAGTTGCAAAAATTCTTTTTTGCAAGCTTTTGGGCACAAACACCCTTTGTCAGGCTGAGGCAGCATCTGCAGTTGGTCTGTGCTCTTCCTGGGTGGAATGAATAGAAAAGAAGCCAGAGGCCAGTATGCATGCAAGGAAGCCAATCAGTAAAAATGTAAATAATAGGAGTCAAAGGATGAGAGACAGGTTGGGGGGGAGTGACTGTAGAATTGGTGCAGTACAGAAGAAAAACCCCTATGAATCACACACCACTGGTTATGACATATCACCCCTCCCTGGAACCTATACGGAAAATCCTTAAACAGTTGCAGCCCATTCTAGAAGAATACCCAGTTCTTAAAGAGATCTTCCCAGAACCACCCAGTAACAAGTGCTGAACCTCACTAATCTCATCACCAGAAGCAAAACCCACTGAATGGATCCAGACCATGCCATGACAAGAAATGTAAAGCCTGCCAACATATCACCACCACCCCCACAATTACAACACCCCACAACAGAATCATCACCATTCCTGCATCTTACAGCTGCACCTCCAGAAATATAATATACCACATCCAATGCACCAAATGCCCTGATGGAAAATACGTAGGAGAGACCAAACAACAACTGCGCACCAGAATGAACGCACACTGGAAATCTGTCAAAGACAAATATACCCAATTACTTGTGGGGGAGCATTTCTCACAAGAAAACCACTCCAACCTCTCAGATCTAATCCTCAAAGGGAATTTACAGAACATTGGGGGGGGGGGGGGGAGGGGTAGTGTGGGGGGGGGGGGGGAAGGGGCTGGACGCAGGGGGCCACTTGGCTATGGGGTCCCCTGCGGCCGCAGGTTTCGCAGGATAGAACGGGCCAGCCCTGTACACACAAAACTTCTAAAAATATGGCTTATAATGAAAGTGTTGCCACCTAATACACTGTTAGAAACAGAACTCATGGTAATAAACTTTAAGCTGTGAAGAAATTAATCAATATTTTGAAACATGCCCCTTTCACTACAGATTTAATTACAGGAGCATATAAACATTTTTAAATCTGTCTAAAGAATGACTCAGATGAGCAGAGATTCTGGTTCATGTTTGCAAGGCTTCAGCCTGCCTCTAAACATAATGAACAAGTATTATGAACAGCAAACAGAATGGGTTCAACTTTCGTTGGCACAGTGGGTTCAACGTTCATTCCTGAATTCTTGGATTCAACTTTGCCATAGATCATACGCAGAAATTAATGTGGTAATCTTGTCTTGGTCTTCAGTGGATATCAACACCAAAAAACAGTCAAATCAAAATTACGTTACATTTCCTCTCTTTATTCCCCTTGTATTTTCCCCACTACAGTCAGGTTGATCCTATGGAATTTACAAGAAGAACCAGTTTTATATTAAGGTAATCTCTCAAACATTGATTGTCACCAATCCTGTTATAAGTAGGATAGACATTTTTACAGCAATTCCCTCTCATCAGAGCAGAGATTTTTGTTTTCTATGTAGAACTTCTCTCTTTTTTTTTTCCTTTAAAAATACTTTAATAATAAAATACCTTAGTGTAAAAAGTTATGTGGCTCAGGGTTTTAAGGCCCACGGAGACAGTGCTGATATAAGTTAATGCCAACAATGAAAACTGATGGAAAGTAAACTGCCTATACAAGTTTTCCCCTGATGTATATTTCTATTCTATTCTGCACTTGGTATGACACACAGATCTAGTCTCAGTGATAAAAATTGCCAAATATAAATTTTTATTCTGAGGAAAAACATGACACTACACAGTGTTTTTAAATCATATTTTCAGAGATCAAACAATGTAAGAAAAGTATTATGATTCACCTTCTTGATCCTTTAAAACAGGGGTGTCAAACATATGGCCTGTGAGCTGGATCTGGTCTGTGGAGCTGTACCATCTGGCCTGCAGTACTGACTGCAGCATGCTCTGGCCCCAACCCCACGTGCAAGGCTAGTTTGGGGCATCCGCTGCACGTGGCATCCATGCCTGACCAACACAGTACGCTGGATCTGGTGCTGGCCCATATCAAGCCCATAGACTACCCCGGCATGCCATATCCAGCATGCAGGGTGGATCCAGCATGGACGCCACATGAAGCTTGCACACCAGACCCACCCTCCATGCTGCATGTAACACACACCTTGGACTGGTCCTATGCACTGTATTCTATGTTGGGTCAGGGCCAACATGTGCTGCATATTGTGTGCATGGCTGGAACCTGGCATGCACACTGTAAGCAGCACATGCAGTCAGTCTAGGACATGCACTGCATGTGGCATCCTTGCGGTCTGGGTACAGCACATAGAGCTAGCATGTGGGCCTAATCCAGCCCACAGATTGGCTCCACATCCCTTATCTGTCCCAGGGAGATGGATGAATTTGACACCCCTGCTTTAAAGAGGAATGATTGGAAACTCATGGTACTTTCTGGGATTGTAAAAGGAAATTTAAAATATTAAAATATATTAAATATATATAAATATATATTTAAAATATTCTGAACTTCAATGCTTTCCAGGGCCATATTGTATGATATTCCTAAATTTTAATTTAAGAGTTTTAACTTTATTGTATTTTCCTTCCTTTTGAAAAATACCCCCCATACTGGAGAAAACCACACCTTTCACAAAAAAGTTTTCACTGGAACTTTTTTTATGAGTCTAGGAAACAACAGAAAGAACTCACTGGGGCAATATGAATATGAACATATGAAATGGACTTGGCACACCTCATCATTACTCTCTGATCAGCTGTCTGAAGTGAACGTGTTCAATGGACCGCTGATTTAAATGCAGTCTTTTGATTTTAAAGTTTCTAGGAAGGCTGGGTGAGATTCAGCAACCCTTATTCATGCAGAATATGAAGTAATGTGTGGAAGTATGGTATTACCCCCATGTCTGAATAAGACTGACAGCATCTGGCCCAGAGTTCTCATCTGGTGCTTGCATTTGTAGGAATCAACTCATCATGATATGGTTACCACTGGCTGGTTGCTCTTCAAAAACTGATGGTCTCTGGGTAAGCATGACCATTTGAAATTAAAGAGATCTCAAACTGGCCCCAATTTACATGGAATTAAAAATTATCATGGAATCAAAATCAGAGAAATAGCTAAAAGATAACGGAAATCTACGTTCCTTCCCATGGTACTGGTGATAGATATGGGCCCAAACTGAAACACTGCATTTAAACCCTTTTGAGCTTTGGGAAAATTCAGGCCAGGGTTCACCTCTGATTGTTACATGTAACGCAAGGAATGCTCTTGTTCGTGGGATACTGTCAGTGTGTGCAGAGCCATGCAAAATGTAAAATAACATGCAGTCCTGCTTCCCTTGCCCAAGCAGCTTTTATTCCAACAGCTTAGTCATTCATCTGTAAAGTCCAGTGGAATTTTGTCACTCATTTTGCTGGCAGCCGGATGGAGTTCTGACTTTATCAAGCCACATGGCAAAGGCACATTAAATACCTCGTTACTAGAAGCAGGCAAACTCTGACAATAAAAATGTCCCCTTTTTAGGTAGGATCATCTACACATGAATTCAAGTGGTCTTAAATGTAATGCATACAGATTAAGCAGGTTTTGGCAGGTGTCTACACATGATGGGCTTTGGGACTAACTTTAGTCCTAGGCCACTTTAGCCCTGCCCTGTGCCCCTGTGGCTACCAGGAGGAGCTCCTGCCTCTGGACACATGGCTGCCAGAACCTGAAGCCATTTGGCAGCCATCTTGGAAACACACCACTGCCCTCTGATCCCTGGCCAGCCCCTTCCTTGCCCAGGAGCCACATGCCCAGCACAGTGGCAGCATGCAGCAGCTCCCTCCTTGCCCACCTTGCCTCCCTGCACCAGGGTTACCCCTGCCCCTGCTCCTGCCCCTGCCCATAATGCTCAGCATCCTGCTGCTCCAGCCTGTCCCCTGCCAGCAATGACCAGTGCCCCATGCTTCTGCTGGCCGTGGTGCTGGCTCTGCTGGCCCCAACAGACACCCCTCCATGCTGAGGCCCAAGTAGAGCCACGCACCTGCCAGCGGGGGCCAGGGTACCAGCTACAGGAGGCCCTGGCCAACCCCATCCTCCTGCACTTCCTGCTCCAGCCCACCTGCCCTGCTGCCCATACACCCCTGCTCCCTTCCTGTCCCCAGCACCATGCTCAGGACATGCACATGATTGAAACAAAGAAACTTTATTTCTCTTACAACATCCATCTCCATCCCTTCCCCCTCAACACACAGTGCCCCTCTACCCCCTCCTCACCTATTAACAATAAAAAACCTGCTAACAAGTAGCAAACTATATAGGGAGCATCCCAGACCTGGGGAAGGAGAGGTGCCCAGCCAGGAGCACTGGGGTTGGGCTCCAGTTGGCCCCCTAGTGGCTGGGTAGACCCAGGACTAAATTATCTGCATTAATCCGGAGTAATGCTTCTACACATGCATTAATCTGCATTAACTAATCCCACTTAAATTTGATACATGGTTTGGGCAGGTATCAATTTTAGGTTCCCATTAGCCTAAAATCTCCATTTTAAGCCACATTAAGGCTACACACATGTAGACGTGTCCGTAATGCAGCTTAAATTGGGCTAATCCACAGTAAATGACTATGTGTAAACACATCCACATAGATCTAGATCCTCAGCTTTGATAAGGCTGATAACAGGGCTGAATGTTAAGGAAACATTAGTATATTTTAAAAGGCACATGTGGCACTGAACAATAACAGAGGTGGCCTAATAATTTTTCTCGTGTATTTCAACAAAATGCCATTGTCTTCAGATAGTGAAAATATTTATAACAAGGATATGCAACATATGCTCTGAGAAACTAAATGTTCCCTATGGACTCATAAAATGTGACCCATGCTGCTATCTCTTCTGAACTGCACGGTGAGGGCTAATCTAATTAAAAACAGGGTTTTACTGCTGAGTGACATAAAACAAAATAAATTACGAGTAATCTATTAAGGAAGATGCAAATATAAGTAAATGTTAAGGATAGTGGCATAGTTAATATTATTCAAGAACATATACATATTAAGTTTAGCTGTTGGACAGCTGTTTAATAGAAGTAGGACATTAACTGCCATGGTCCCCTGCTTTACCTATGCCAGTTTAGGGAGTTATATCTTGTGTTATGTCAGAGTTGACTCAAAAAATTTAGCTTATGGATTGTATAGAATGGTTTGGATAGGGATGACCCGACAGGGAGTTGAACTAGATGACCTCTAGAGGTCACAGCCCTACTTTTCTATGAAATCTATGATTCCTGGCATGCTTCCACCACAGAATGTGGTTGCTTGTGATAGCAAAATATAGGACTGGATCCAGGAGATCCATTATGTTCCATTATGTTCTTGTGGGTCAGATTCATAGAGTTGTTCTTGCAAATGGCCATAAAACAGATGTGCCTTTTAGAGGTTCTGTACTTATTACATTATGGAGACATCTAAGCCAGTCCAAATCCAGCCCGCAGAGCCATGTCATCTGGTCTGCAGAGCTCCCCCAGGTTCAGAGATTTAGCAGCAGAGGAGTGGTGGCAATATTAATTGCTGCTTCCCTGCTGCCAAATTTCCAGACTTGTGGGGAGTTCTGCATGTTGATGTGGCTACCACCAGTCTGCAGTGGAGCCAGTGCACATGGTCAGTCTGCAGCTCAGTCCAGTGCCTGGGGTCAGGCCAGTGTACGGCCAGATCTGATTTGATAGTTGGTTTGATTTGTCAGTTTTCCTGTTGTGATCCCAGCAAAACTGATCTGATGTTGTGTTGCATCAGAGTTGCATTCCATGAAGCAGTCCCTATCCCTTTTTGTGATCAGTGACATTCAGTAAGCTTGCTAATAAAATTGGTATTTTTCAATAAGGGAGTTAGACTGCAGTGTTCAGGACCAGATTCTACAAGCCTTAGGCATGCTATTCTGTTTTTGTTTATATTCAGACAAGAGTAAGAAATGTGGTTGTCATGCAAAGAACTACTTCTCACCCAACTGCTAGCAATATAGTGATGGGAGACTGGTAACAAGGCAAGAACAGAAGGCTTTGGCAATGACCACTTCCTTACATCTGTTCCAGAAGATGTTTTAAGAAGGAAAAATGATGGATCCAAAATCAAGAGAAATAAAAATAACTTGTATCTTTATGAATTAATTATAAGCCTGAACAGCAAGACAGCAGTATCTTCCATCAGCATCATTGGCTACTGTTAGACAGCTTACTCTGTGGGCCAAAATCAAAGACTGTGTGCTGAATTTTACCTTCAGATAAACCAGGGCAATTCCCAGTTAGGTGTTTGTAGTTCATGTGAGTGTGAGTGTATATGCACATGCACAGGTGCATGTTTTAGGAACATAATGAATTCATTCTCAAAATTATCAGGGCAGTGTATCTGTCACCAGCATGACAACAGCAGTGTGAGGTCTCACGTAGGCTGCTGGCAGATGTTAAAGCAATGGCACAATTGGGTTTTGAGAAATGTCATGCCCCATCCCCAAAGCTGGGCAACCTGTCATGCCAGACATGTGTGGTAAGTCATGTGGTTTTGGGGATGAGGTACAAACCAACCACAACCCCCACTGTGCGATAGCCAACTGCCAGCACCCAGGGAGCTGTGTCTCTCTATCCTACACGGCTCCCCGGACATGGCCAGAATTCCTGCTTTGCCCTGCAAAGAGTTTTGAAGCTACATGTGCAGCTAGGGGACAGGGAGTTCCCAGGTCCCTAACTGCCGGTGCCCAACACTGTGAAATGATACCTGCAGCTGGGGAATCTCCCATCTCCCCAGCTGCTGCTTGCAAGGGTGCCCCCAGGAACTTAAAAAAACCAGGTGTTCAGCAGAGGCTCCCAGCTGCATGCCCACTTTTTAAAGGCCCAGGGCACAGTGGGTCTGTAATCAGGGAGATGGTCACTGCCCCAGACCCTGGGCTGTCCCATGCCAGATCCATTACTTATCCCAGACATGCCACATGTTCAATTTAAGGCAATTTAAGGCACAATACAAAGAAGATAAAGATGCTATCCACTATATATGGCATATCTTTGTGGCTTGTTTGTTATTTTATCACACCATAAGTTGGTTTTAACATGTGGCTATTTATGATACGATTAACACCTTAATTGCACCTTAAATGTATTGTGTTCTTGGGTCATTATATTGAACCATACTGCCTGAAGGTAGCTAAGGCAAGTCATGGTACTAAGCATCACCCCCCAAAAAATATTGGTTCTGCCACAAACTGCTGTTTGATCTTAATCAAATCATTCCACTTTTCTAGGTCTCTGTTTTTACCTTTGCGAAAGGAAATGATGATCCAGAATGAAATTCATTCCTGTGTAGAGGACCTGCACAAAACCTAAGCATCATTCCAGATTCACTTAATCTCTGTTACAAAGTTCTTCCCAAAATACTCTGAAAGAAAGTTTACACAAAGCTGGAAGGATTGATTTATGAAGATTAAAAGGAAAAATGTAAATTCACTGAATAACAATGAATGGTGGCATGATGGTCTACAAATATTGGAGGACTGTAAAATCCAAGTACAAAGAAGATTTACACAGAGAAGAATATGGTAGTATAATTAGAACAGGGCTTAAGAAACAAAGCTGAGGAAAATAATTTTGATTGACCACACAATAATTTTTTTCCAGCAGTGGAATGGAGAATGAAACAGGACATCTTCCAACGGGAAGCAGTGTTTGCTCGTAACCACAGATTTTTAAAACTTGACCACACAAAGCATTTGTATGGGCAATGTAAGGAAAAATCCTGTACTGGCCAGGGATTAGACTAGAGGATTCTCTAACCCAGAGATTAAAAGGCTGGAAATGATTTTCTGTTTTAACTTCCTGTACAGCATAGGCCCTAGACTTTTACCAAATTACCCCTGTTGCCCAACAAACCTTTGTTCCGTTAAAATATGACATCCAGAAAGGCATCCCAATCTTCATCTGAAGACATCCTGAGATGAAGAATCCACCATTTCTATTGGTACTCTGTTCCAGTGGTTAATCACCTTAATTGGTAAAAAATACCAAACCCTGTGTTTTATTTCTAATTTGAATGTGCTTGGCTTTGCCTTTCATCCACTGGTAATCCATGGGTCTTTTTCTTCTCCAAGTATGTCCTATGGCTTTGGGGCCTGACCCAAAGCCCTTTGAAACCAATGCAAAGATCCATGATGACCTTAATGGGCTTTGGATCAGGCTCTTGTTAAGTACTCTTTTCTGTCCACACAAATTCATACAGCTGATGCATATTAATAGCAACATATCAGTGCCCTGGTGCTATGTTGCTCCTTAAGTGGCTGTGATTTTTATAGGGAGTGCAGTCTGAATACCTGGGACAGAAAATATTCCCAATGCAGACATTACAGGTAAAGGGCTGTTGCTGCCCATGAATGTCAACTATAAAGGTATTATGGGTGAGAAAATGTTATATTAGCAGAGATGTAAAACAACTGTCCAAAATAGACTCAGCTACCTGTACACATGAAGGACTGCTTTGTTCCCAATCACAGGCAACACGTAGTAGAGCATGGGGGGGGGTGTGCCCCCCCTTGAGATTGCCTGCCACTGGCTTCTGCAGGCTGTCACCACTCACCACTCACAACCCTCCCCCTGCCTACTGCAGACACCGCCGCTGGCATCTGCGGGTGATCCCCACTTGCTGCTCATCACTGATGCTGCCACCTAAAAATGATGCCCCTCCAGTCTTGGGAGGCACCAGTCATTCATGTTCCTGACCACTCACTGAGAAGGTGAAGCATGTACTCCATTCCTTCTCCTGCCAGTCATTAATTTCTCTACAGGCGATAAGCAGATAGCAGCTGCAGAGGTATCCAAAGGATGTGCCTATTATTTTTATAATGTAAAAATGTAAGAGCATTGTGAACAATAATCAACTTCATAAAATAAAGGGCACTCCATTACTGAAACATCTAACCACTTTTGCAATCATTCTAAGTGCTCACCGCTCGTTTTCATCAACATTTTAATGAACTCTTTGAAGTATTTTTTTGGTAAAGGATTCCCCGTTATAATAGTTATAAAGTAGTGGAGCCTGATGCTTCAATATTCCTAGTCAATAGCGGACTTTCTGTTTCACAGGTTTTCACTTTGAATTTATTTTTTAACTAAGTAGCAGCAGATTTGTAGGATGTGTGAGATTATTACATCTTGTTTTAAGATCCTTAAATGGAAGGCATTTTAAAAGTGCTCACATTAGCACTAGGGCTGTATGAAGCTTCGGGGGCTGATTCAATTCAGAGGAGATTCGACCCAATTCGGTCGCTGAATCTCCGAATCAAATCAGGGGACCAATTAAAAGGTCTGAATCGATTTAAAGCTCTCTGAATCAATTTGGAAAAGATTCAGAGAGCTTTGAAGATTTGGACAGTCCCTGCCCACAGCAGCAGGGAGCTGGACCCTGACTCAGAGCTGGTAAGTAGGGGGCGGGGGCAAGGGGGCTTGTGGAGACCATGGGGGGACCCCTGCCAGGCCCCATCCCCTGCCTGCTCCCCCAGCCTCCCCCACAGCTGCCCTGTCCACCCCAGCTCCTGGCCCTTTAAAAGAAGGCCCAGACTCACTGGGTGCTGCCAGGTGTATGTGTGGGGTGGGGGGGAATCCCCACTGTTCCCCATTGCCCCAGATGCTGCAGCAGCCTTGGAGTTTCTGGGGGCTCATGCAGAGCCCTCCATGCAGCGTGGGACAGTAGGGGGCAGTGGGGATCACCCCCCTGCCAGGCAGGAGCCAGTGAATTGGGGCTTCTTTTGTGTTTTTTCTTTAAAAGGGCCAGAGCTGGGGCAGGCAGGGGTTGGGGGGGCTTGTGGCAGGGGCCCCCCCCCCCCCCCCCCCCCC